CTTTATTATAAAATCTCTCATAATATATAAAATTAAAAAAACTTACTAATCATTTAAATCAATATATAAATATAAATGAAATTAAAATTAATATATAAATAAAATTATAATCAATATACACAATTAAATACTTATTATTAACTTTTTCGTTAATAAAAAAACTTGTTACATTTAATATCACTTGGAAGAAAAAATCTATGGCATGTCAATCGGCGGAACTGAGGGCTGATCAGAAATGATACGTTGACATAAATGGCCGTTGTTTATATAACACAATACACGACCATCAGACGCCTAGAGAAACACTGGAATCTCCTTCTCCATTAAAAACTAGAGGTGTACAAAAAACTGTCAACCCACGAAACACGCCCAACCCAACCCCTTAACAACCCAATTAAACTCAACCCGCTTAACCATCAAACTGCTAACCCGCCAATTAGAAGGGTTGAACTTGCTCAACCCGCCAACCCGTCGCAAATATATAATTTTTATGAAATTTTATTTATATATAGGTATGTTTATTATGTATATATAGATATATTAATAATGTATAAATTTTATATAATTTTATTGATATTATATTTGTATTTCATTTTAACTAAACGTATAGGTTACCAAAAGAGATTCATGGTTAAAGAATGATGAAAAATAATCTACTTAATAAGAGAAAATTATTGAAATATTTTTTGCAGCAACAACAAATTGATATGTCGGAAAATATGAATGATATTGATAGATATTTAGTTGATGAATCCATCAATCTAAATACTCCGTCATTTTATGTTGTACTTTAGTGGAAAAAAAATTGTTTAGTTATAACATTATGTTACAACAACATTAGATCTTATAGGATGCCTAAAATGTCTAACCGTTCTAATATGATATTTTACAGGACGAAAAAAGAAAAATGTTTTATCTAAAAGAGTTACAATATGTTTATAAGATGATTTTGGACGTCCTAATAAATTATGACACTTTTAAAATTAAGTGTCGTATTAGTTATTTTATACCACACGACTTGAAAAAATGTTATATGAACATAAATTTCCCATAAATACATGAGTTTACGGTACACTTCTCAAAATATATCTTAATATAACTAATACAACATTTTATTTAAATATCATTTTAAAACACTTGTTGAAACATCAAAAAAATATCATATAAATCTATTGCAACTTTTTAAATATGACACTTTGTATTATGCTCTATAAATTTAAGTTTTATGAGTTATTTCATTTGTCAAATTTAGATAACTACTAACCCGCTAACCCAATCCAACTCGTCTTGCCCCGTAACTGCCCAATCCCCAACCGCATACACCCCTATTTAAACCTTTCTTCCATTATTCTTCCAAATCGTTGCTTTCTTCTCCTTCAATGACTACATTCTCAAAAACACAATCAGATTCCTTTTCTTCGTCATCAAAAACTTCCAATTTTGAACCATCACAGAACCAATTAATGACTCATAACTGGTATTCCGAGGAATCAGGAGTATACAGTAGCAGACTGCCTCGAGTTACCCTTCCTTCAGACCCATTTTGTGATGTTGTTTCCTGCGTATTTTCACACAAACACAACGGAAAAACTGCACTCATTGATGCCGAAACCGGGGTCTCCATTTCGTACTCAGAGCTCCAACCGTTGGTGAAATCTATGGCCAGTGGGCTTCACCATATGGGTGTTTCAAAAGGTGATGTTGTTTTGATTCTTTTGCCGAATTCAATCTACTATCCTATCGTTTTCTTAGGTGTTTTATATCTTGGTGCTGTTGTAACTCCCATGAATCCTTTTAGTAGTTTCTCTGAGATAAAAAAACAAACACTTGGTAGTCATGTTGGTTTCGCTTTCACTTTGCATGGTAGAGCCAATGAATTGAACTCACTGGGAATTCCGTCCATTCGGGTGCCTGAAAACGCCAAATTCGATTCAAGCCTAGTTCACTATGCACCTTTTTACAAGCTTATTTCGGGTGATTACAATTTTGTTCGACGTTCAACAATTAGGCAAGATGACACTGCTGCAATTCTGTATTCATCAGGCACTACTGGTGGTAGTAAAGGTGTTGTTTTGAGTCATAGAAATCTGATTTGTGGGGTTGAGCTTTTTGTTCGATTCGAAGCTTCACAGTATTCGAATCCCAGCGAAGAGAACGTGTTTTTGGCTGTTATTCCCATGTTTCATATCTATGGACTTGCACTTTTCGCCATGGGGATTTTATCACTGGGTACCACGATTGTTGTTATGAGAAAGTTTAACCTGAATGAGATGGTGGATTTTATCGATAGATACAGAGTTACTCATCTTCCAGGAGTGCCACCATTGGTGACAGCTTTGACCAAAATGGGAACTGGTGGAAGAATGAAGAGTTTGAAGCAGGTCTCATGTGGAGCTGCTCCATTGAGCACCAGAAGCATAGAGGAGTTTCTGCAGTGTTTTCCTCGAGTCGATTTCATTCAGGTATTGAAATTACAATTCTGTCCTCCCCTTACAGATAGAAGGGAGGTTTCTACATGTATACAAGTTTAATGGTCTGTGTCTAGCTGAAGCCAACGAGCCTTGGTGCATCTACATCGTTCATCTTTAACAAACATGGTTGCTAACGTGATACTGAAATTATAATTCTATCCTCCCCTTACAGAGAGGGGAGGTTCCTACATCTATACAGGTTTTTTAGATGGTCTAGCTTAAGCCAAGGAGCCTTGGTGCATCTAAATCATCCATCTTTAACAGATGTGGTTGCTAAGATGATATTAGGTGTTCATTTTCAGGGTTATGGCTTGAGTGAATCAACGGCTGTGGGAACACGTGGATTCAACACTCGAGATGTTCACAACTATACATCGGTTGGACTTCTGGCTCCGAATATGGAAGCCAAAGTGGTTGATTGGGTTACTGGTCCGCATCTGCCTCCTGGAAAAACTGGCGAACTTTGGTTACGTGGACCGGCTATAATGAAAGGTAAACACCACTCTTTCACTTCCAAATCATAGATTTTCTTTCTGGTTCAAATATCCCACAAATAACAATTGAAATGAATTCCTTTCTTTTATACAAGATCCAATTTCTAGTTGTGGTAGTCAATCCTATTCATCAGTTTCTCTTAGTTTGTTTTTTGGGACTCAATGCGACCATGTTTAGCAGCTGTTGGATAAGCTGGCTGCTAGCTGATAGCATAGTCATGTTTGTAAAATTACCTAAAAGGACATGTTGAAAAATTAATTAGAAAAATACAAAGGGAAATAATTTGAAAAAAGGAGTAGGAAAAGCTCCTCGAACTTATTGAAACGCTATTTCAAGTAACATTTAACAAGGTAGCTTATCAACTATTTTATGACTAACCAAAAGGGGTTTTTCAATAAGATCAAGGGGCTTTTCCTACCAACTAATTTTTCAGCATGCCGTTTTATATTGTCAATCTGCTTATTAGCTATTTTATTACCTATCATGACTATGTTATCAACAAGCACCTAGCTTATTAGTAGACAACAACTTTTTCAGCCAACAACTAGCTTATCAGCTATTTTATGAATAACCAAACGGGGCTTTTTCAATAAGCTCAAAAAATAAGTCAGCTTTGTGAACCAAAACAATCCATGATATCATCATATTGCTAACACATTCCCTTCTTCATTGAACTTGTTTTCTTGACATGAACTTTGGTAGAATACTTGAACAATATGGAGGCAACTTCTTCGACGATCGATAAGGATGGTTGGCTGCACACCGGGGACGTTGTTTATTTTGACAAAGATGGTTATTTACATATCGTTGATCGAGTGAAAGAGATCATAAAGTACAAAGGGTTTCAGGTAATTCAATAAATTAGAAACTTCTACTAATTCGAACCAATTCTTTGATTGAAATGAAAATAGGATCAGATCTAAAGATCACATTGCAGATTGCTCCTGCTGATTTGGAGGACGTGCTAGCATCTCATCCAGCCATACTTGATGCTGCAGTAACAGGGTGAGTTTGCCCATGTGGGGCTTCATTGGAATTTGTAGAATATTTATTATGACCACCAATAAGTCATGATCCTTAGCGATCATGAACTCGTTGTCGAATATCATCTTCAACAGATTCTTTAAAATTTCTTTGAAATGGAGGATTAAAACTCAAAATCTCTAAAAAGAAATTGCATTTAACTCCAACAGATTCTCTGTCTTGGAGATTACAACATTATTTATATTATTAAAATATTTTACAAGTGTAGTAAAATATCATTTTTCTCTAGAAAGTTAGGTTTCTTATTGGTGGAAATATAATAAAAAATTGTTACTGTCTTATTATAATCATTTTTTAGGAGTTCTCTAAATCCGGAGAAGTTTTGGAATCTGTTGAAGCAAACATTTGCCCAAAATATCCTTTTTTTCTCCATTTTAGAGAATCTGTTCGAGGTGCTCTAGTTTTGTCTTTTGTTGCCGAATTCAAAATGGACAAGGGTTTACTTGCCAAATCTTCCCACTTGTAGTTTTTGCGATACGGGTTTATGTGGTTATCAGATATTTGTTGAAAAATGAAGAAATTATATACATCTAGTTTAGTAGTCAAAACGTAATCCGTTTGACCTTAAAAGTCAAACCATCCCTTTTTTTAATCGACTGCCTAGGATTTGAAGGGGTCATTTGTTAGATGACCTTAAGGTTTCAATTAGGAGCATGACTTTTTCAAAAAAATAACTCAATGAACTTCGAATGACCCGCCCCCATAAAATTATAAAAACACTAGACGGTTTTTTTGTAAAATGGATTTCATAGGAGGTCATTTAGCAAAATAGCTCGTATTTTACAGCTATTTTCTGTTTTCATTTGGTTTTGTGCATTGTGCAGTAGCAGGGACGAGGAAGCCGGAGAGGTTCCAGTGGCATTTGTAGTGGTGAGACCGGGAGCCGAAGTTTCTGAGTCGGGCATAATCGACTTTGTAGCAAAACAGGTTCTGTTTCTACAAACACGATAACTCTAATATTCATTGCTAGCCTCAATTTTCTTGATCCTATGATTAAGTCTCTATATGCAATCAAAACGATCACTACAAGAAAACGAGTGTTTTTAGACCTCTAGACATCTTAATAGAGTACTCATCAACGAGGTTTTTAAGTTTTTAGGGCCAAAAATTGTACGTCTTATCTAAAAGCATTACAATAAGTTGGTAGGACGAATTAGGCAACCTACCAAGTTTTGGTGACGATGATCGACGACCTAATAGGACACAAAAAGTAAATTGTCATATTAGTCTTTTTATAGCTAACCGAATAAGCTATGAGTTCGATTAATCTCATTAAGTTGTTAACAGACAAGCCTTAAAGTCTCAGTAAGTACTTTATTAAGACGTCCAACGACAATTCAGCATCCTAAAAAACCCCATTTTATCGTAGCGAATCAATTGGCTGCAATCTGATACATAAATTACAGATCACCCTCTAAATCGGTAATGTGACAGGTTGTGCCGTATAAGAAGGTGAGAAAAGTGATGTTCATGAACGCGATACCACGGTCTGCGGCCGGAAAGATTCTGCGGAGGCAATTAAAAGAGAAATTATATTCAAGACTTTAATCACGAAGCCCTTTTCAAGAAACATTAATCTGGTTGCTGGTTTTCGTATTTGCATAATTTCTGAAGCATGGGTTCGAGTGGGCCCAGGTCTCGGTGGTTCTTTTGAACAGTAATCTAATAATAATTTGGTTGCTGGTTTTCATATTTACATAATTTCTGAAGCATGGGTTCAAGTGGGCCCAGGTTTCGATGGTTTTTTTGAACAATAATATAATAATTGTTCAATATATAGTATAACATTGTGCATCCTTTTATCAAAGCAATATTATCGTTATTAATGTTATTTAAAAAAAATATTAAATAATTTTTAAAAAAATAATTAATTTGGAAAAATCACCTAAAATAGGCAAATCTTATAAATTACCATCCAAAGTAAAAGACATAACAAAAGATTCAACCATCATCTCCTTTTGAGTAAATTACCATTTTGGTCCTTGTGGTTTGTTGATGATTTTTAATCCCTACGGTTTAGATTCTGATATTATGATTTGTAGTTATTGTTATTTTCATTCATGGATTAATTCATATCTTTAAATATAAGGGATCAAAATAGTAAAGAATTGTAAATTACAGGAACTAAAATAATAATAAACTGTAAATTATAAAACAACCATAGGAACAAATACTACAATTTCTAAACCAAATGAACAAAAATCGCAATATTTAATAAAACCACATGGACAAAAAACATAATTCACTGATTTTCCAAAATTTCTTCAAAAGTCAAAATCTCTAAAAGAAATTTATAATTATCTCCAACAGATTCCCGATTTTTTTGGAGGATCTAACATTGATAATAATATTAAAATATTTCATTCATGTATTAAAATATTATTTCTTTCTCTAAATTTTTATTTTCAAAGATTCCTATTGGTCCTCTCACTTGGTAATCATTTTTAGGTGATCTTCATATTTGAAGAAAAACCCTTCTCTCTCTTACTTTTTTTGTTTTGGGAAAACTTTTGGAACTATGTATAGGTTCAAAATCCTTATTTCCATTTTGTAGAAGTTGTTGAAGATGTAATTGACATTTAGCACATTTGACCCGTCCTTTTTAGTTTTCACTGCCAAAATAGGAATAAAATCTAGAGCAAAATGCACAAAATAACAATCTACTTTCATAAATTTCTTTATTATAACATTGTACTTTTAGTTTTTCTTATTACAACAATGTACTTTCAAACTATTTTTTATTAGAACATTGTATTTTGAAAATTTTACCCATTATAGCATTAGATAACCTTTTGATTTAAATTTACCCATTATACAAGATTTTCATGCCACCTCATTGTCCACATGTACTATATTGATGTGACTTTCTTATTACAACATTATACTTGCAAAATTATTTTATTATAGCATCTACTAGTTCTTATTAAACAATGTACTTTTAATTTAATATTTAGATATTTTACATGTTATTTAATATATTAATAATTAAAAAAATTCTAAATTATTCATTAATATACCAATATTAATAAAAATAGTA